TAGCTTTTCTTCTAAGGTAGTAGACAGATGTGTGCAGAAGCTTAAGTAGCGTGTTGCTCCTTTGTTCTGACATTGTACATATGTGGCATGGATGTATTGATGTGCAGGAGCAAGATGACCAGAATTATCAACTGGAGAAGATGCTGGAATTTTGGAGTGGATAACAGCCACTTCATCTGTGAGACTGAATGTAGAAACTTGACTCCTGTTCATCTGTCGTCTTCCCTTAGTTCCGGATTCATTTGAGGAAGATGACAACAATGAAAATAATCTAATTATTTAGAAGGAGGCAGCGAGAAAGCTTGAAATGAAAAATTTATCTTGGGCGTTTGGTCTCAGAAATGAAGTGGCAGAAATATTTTGAAAAATGATCTCTGGGAAGCCAGCGTCTCCTCCACTTGATGCTGCCTTTCCCTCTTTGTTTTCCCTGTACACAGTGTATATGTTTTCCACATACAGTTTTGCCATATTTATGCTCTGTGTATGTATTAAATTCCCACACGAGATGATCTTTAAGGTCCGTTTCCAAACCAAACCATTCTGTGTTTCATCACATGCTGTTTCTGCTGCTTAAGGACTCCTTAAACTCTTCCCCTGCTCCAGTGTGTAGCCCTTTCCCACAGGAGAGAGTTCTCTATGAACTTCTCCAACGTGAGTCCTTACCCATCAGATTGCTCCAGCGTGGGCTTTTCCCACAGAGTCATGACTTCTTAGGGTGCAGCTGCCTGCTCCAGCCTGGGGTCCGCCATGGACTTCAGATGCGTCTCTGCTTCATTGTCAGTCTCCAGCAGCGTGAGATCCATCCCATGGAGACAATCTCTGGTCTCCCTTAAGCACAAGTGTCTCTGCTCCAGTGTGGGATTCTCTCCCACAGGCTGCAGACAGAGCTCTGTTCCACTGTTAACCTCTATGGGCAGCAGGGGGGCTGCCTGCCATCTCACCATGGGCTGCAGGAGAATCTCAGCTCCGGCACACCTCCTCCTGGTCCATCTTCACTGACCTGGTGTCTGCGTGGCTGTTTCTCTCAGATCTCAGTCCTCTTTCCGCTGCAGCCATGCTGGGCCTGATGGCAGTCCCAGCAGGACTCGCCCCACCCAGCAGGTGCTTTGGGAGCGGGGAGCTTTGGAGCTCTCCAAGCCACGCTGCCACGGCCATCTCCAGTTGAGTGGCAGTGGGCCAGAGTGGGCAGGAGCCTTTG